TGTGTGTGTGTGTGTGTGTGTGTGTGTGTGTGTGTGTGTGTGTGTGTGTTTTCTTTTTGGCACATAATGCTATGTAAATGCAGATCAGGTTATTTCCATAATTCCAGTAGCATTACCTTCTCTACCAAAATGACAGGAGCAAGTGATTCATGCTCAGTTGGAATAGTAACCAGCTCAAAATAGAGGCGTAAATCCAAATGTGGACAGGGAAAAGACCATCAACGTTAGGGAGGCTGGCAGAACTGGGCTTCCCCCCTCCTGTAGTTTTAGTGAACATGTATTGTGCCAATCGTAAACTAATGTGACAGATAAAATTTGTTCATGCTGCTGTGTTTACACCCACATGCGAGATCCAAATCATCATTTCCCACTTATCGTCTCTCTCTTGGCAGCTCAGTTTCTACCAGAACATGCTCCAGTCTTGCTGTTTAATGTCTCCATTATAATTGGTGACAGAAGTTATATTCTTTTACAGCTTACCTAGTTACCAGTTGTCCTGTGTTTTTTTTAAATGCCCAATTGCTCTCTTGTGGTGGCCACGTAGTTACTAGCACACATTTGTTGGACTTGGAAACTTGGGTAAAATTATATGGTCTGGAATAGTATGTGCACATGTCTCTCTAAATATAGATTCTGTTATACCAGCTAAGTAGCAATCTAAACCTAAAGATAAAAACCTGTGTTTTCTCTGAATGTAAGAATAACACATTCTCTGGGCACTTGTAATGTCACAAGTTTGTTGTTCTCAGACTTGGTGCATTCAGTTTTGCTGACCTCTTAATCCCCTTCTTAAAAATATATATTTAACACATGTAGAAACATAATAGTCCTACTCTCCAGGGGTGTGTGTGTGTGTGTGTGTGTGTGTAAATATCAGTGAAGAACAAGATTATACTGTTTATACTTGTTGGGAATGATCAGGTGACACTGCTTGGTGTCATTTTGTCTTCTTAGCCCTTTGTGATTTATTTGTTCATTGTTAGACCTAAAATACCATGTCTTTCTATTGTCTATTGTTGCCTGCTCCTTTTGGTCTCTTTTTTCCAAGATATTAAATACTCAATTATTTGAAAAAATAATTCTTGGATCAAGGTTAACGTTAAAAGTTAACATTGAAGATTAAAATAACATATTATCATGTGTCCTTCAACAAATTGGAGGACTTGGGTTTGAATTCTGACTTTACCACTTACTGTGTGATCTTGGAGAAGTCATTTCACTTTCTTTGGACCTCAGTTTCCTCAATAATACAATGAAGATTAGACTAGATGATCTCTAAGGTCCTTTCCAGCCCTATATATATGATTCTACTCATGATATAAATTTAGAGATTCTGGACTTTCGGGTTTTAGGAATCTAACTAGAAATTCTGGACTTGTCCAGATACAATGCAGTATATTCTCAGAAATGGTCAGAAGTAGGAAAGAGTCATTTAAGCTAGACTTTAGTCTTTAGCAAGACCACTTTGGCATATATGTGTGTATGTATATGTATATATATGCATGTATGTATATACACACATATACATAAATATGTAAATACACGTGTGTGTGTGTGTGTTTGTATAAAAAATCCCTTTGAGTATGTGGGACATGAGTTTTTTGTGGTGTATGTTATACTTTTGCTTCATGGAGGATTGTTGTTGTCTGTCAGGGAACATGTAGTCAAGCTTTGATAGTATGTGTAGCTAAGCTTCAAAACGCAAAATAGATATGTAGGCTTGGTGCTCTGACCGCAGAAAGACCTAGGCCCTTGGAAATAGTTTGACTTTTATGCTACAAATTCATCTTCTTTTCAAATTATGGCCTCGGGGCAAGTGATGTCTTACAGTATTTGGGGTCAGAGGACCTGAGTTCAAATTCCAGCTCTGTCTCTTGGGGTCATGTGGTCTGTTCCTTATATTTTTTGAGCCTCAGTTTAGGAGATAAGATTAAATAATCTTTTAAGGTCTCTTCCAGCCCTTAGTCTATGATCCTATGAGCTTTCCTGCTGTGTGTATTTATATTGTCTTTTTATAGCACAGGTGAATAAGGGAGAGGATTTTAGTAGTGGTCAGGTCTCTAAGCATTGGGGTTCACCCCACTGAATCCTGATCACAGCAGCCATGGGTAGGCAGCACATTGTACCCCAGGCCAGGGGTTAAAAACGTTACTACTCAAGTTCTCTGAGCTTAAGACTTTTTTTGCTTATGAGAACTGAGATTTCCTCTTTTGACATGTCTTGATGATAGGTACATCTATTAGTGTTGTCTTGATTTCGTGTGATGGTCTATCTGCGTGTTAGGATAGATATACTGGCACACTCCTTACTAACAGCTATATTTGGGATAAGGATAGGCAAACAGAATTAGCATGCCCATTCTTGATTAAAGAGAAAGGAAATGAAGCCTTCATGCCTGCCCTTAACATCATCCCAACCATAGGACTGACAAAATGAGACCTGAAGAATTTTGAGTCTAGAGTAGAATTATTGTAAGAGGTCTCTGACTCCTGTTCTGACAGCTGCAAAAAGTTGTTGGCCCTCTCATTAAATAACTTTATGATAAATAAGCAAAATTATGTCTTAAAGACTAAATAAATTATATGCCTTATGCATATGTATATTACCATATTTCAAATGTTTCAGAGTAGAGGGCCAGCCTTGGAGTAAGAAAAACTTGGGTTAAAGCCCCACCTTAGAGTATGATAGAGTAGAAGACCACATAGGAGCTTGTCTCCCACTTTTATTCCAGCAGTGATCTAGAAAGACCACCAGATTGAATAATGACCAAGAAATCCAAAGAGTAGTATCAGTTAACTCTGTTATACAGCCCAGAACCACACAAAAAGATAGCCAGAAACTGTTGACATTGAAAGAGGGATCCTGCCAGAGAAGCCAGTGTGAGCCTAGGTAAATAGACCAGAAGCCCATGGCATTGCTCTGATTGGGAAAGCTCCAGGTAAGATGGAAGACTGTAGCAGGATCTCATCAGGGAGAGCCAAATATAGATAGAGCTCTGTGAGGGCCACTGAAGCCTGTTAGTGTTCTGAGTCTCTGAGTGCAGAAATACCAAGAGAAGTGTAAGCCAGCAGCGGGAAGTCAGTAAAGCTAGGTCAAAACCAAACAGAGCTTGATCACCCTATCTAAGAGTGCAGGAGGGAGTGGAGTCTGGCCCTGGCACAGAGTCTCAAATTAGAAACTGAGGCTGGAGATAGGAGTAAACAGAAGATATTGAACACTATGATAGAATATTATGGGTCATAAGTTGCCCAAGAGGAAAACCTCAGAAAGAGTAACTCCACAAAAACTATAAATAGAGACTCTAAGGAAAAAAAAAAGATAGCCTTAGCACAAGGCTTAGAAGAATCCCTGGAAGAAATGAAACAAAAGACTTTTTAAAAATGGAATTTTAAGTGAAATAAGAGTTCTGGAGGAAAGAATTGGGGAATCAGTAGCTTAGAACAGAGATGAAAATACCCATGTTAACAGATACTTTGACAAATTAAAATAACTCAGTGATTCCATGAAACACTGAGAAATACTCAAAATCAAAAGATTAGAAAAATAGATGAAAATATAAGATATCTACTATCAAAAACAATTAATCTGGAAAACAGGTTAAGTAGGGACCGTTTAAAAATCATTGGATTCCCTGAAAGCTATGACCAAAAATAAAAGTCTGGATAACATCTTTCAAGGAATCATAAATGAAAGTGAAAATAGATTCTGCTGGTAACTTCCTGAAAGAAACCCCCAAATGAAAATTCCCAGAAATGTCATAACCAAAATCCAGAGCTTCCAGGTCAAAGAAAAAGCACTATAGGCAGCCAGAAGGACCAAGTAATGACAGTTTGGGTCATACAAAATTCGCAGCTTCTACCATAAAGGAGTATTCCATATGGGAAAAAAAAAAATAATAATAATAATTTAGCCTGTAAGACTGAGTACAGTTTTTCAAAAGAAATAATGAATTTTTAATGGAATGGAATTCTTTCAAGCATTCCTGGTGAAAAGACCAGATCTGAATAGAAATTCTGGAATGCAAACACAGAAGTCAGGAGAAACCAAAAAAGGTAAAATACATCTGAGCAATTACAAGAGGCTAAAAGATGACAAAGTGATTTCATTGTAATACGGGAGAAGAGACAAGTATGCCTTCAGAGTCCTAATGACTTCAAGGGTCACATAGGGAATTAAATAAGATAAAGAGGAATTGAGGGTGGTTTTGTTCTCTTTTGGTGGTTTTAAGAGAAGAAGGAAAATAATAAAAGGAAACATTAGATAAGAAATAAGGAAGAAGGGGGCACTTAGAATTTTTATTCGTGAGAAGAAAAGTATTAAAAAATAGAGAAAGGGGGTGGAGGCAAGCACTCTCATCTGAACCAGAGAGAGGAGAGTTAAACACATGCATATACATGAAGAATTTGGTATAGTAGTACATTAAAACTCAACAAGAAAGCAGGTGTGGACAGGGAAAGAGGAGAAAAGGGTTCAAGAAGATAGGTAGAATTGGAGAGAGAGCGAGGACACAAACTTCAGTTTCAGAGAGTAGATTGTAAAAGGAGGGTTAGAAAAGAAAGAAAGTTTAAAAACCAGTGATGGGGTCTGGGTGAGGGGAGGAGAAGGTGGTCAGTAGAGTGGAAGTATTTTGATTCAATTGATCACATCCTTCTCTTTCACTCACTTTCTTTGTAAAGAAGGGGATGGAAAGCCAAGGGAGAATATGAGGAAGGGAAGTACAGAATTGGTAATCATAACCATGAACACGAATGGGATAAACTCACCTCTAAAATGGAAGAGGATAATAGAATGAACTGGAAAGCAGAATCCAACGTTATTCACATGAAGATCACTTGCAACATAAAGAGTGACAAAAATTAACATGAGTGACTGAAGCAGAATGTACTATACTTTAGTTAAATCTTAAAAAAATCATCATCTCAGAAAAGGCAGCAGTAAAAATATACTTAGTTAAACCTGAGTGAAGACTTGTATAAACTGATGCAGAGTGAAGTGACCAGAACCAGGAGAATGATTTATAGAATATCTACAACATGAAATAAAAGCAACTTGGAAAGATTTAAGAACTCTGATTCATGCAGTGAACTGTCAAGATTCCTGAAGCCCAGTGATGAAATATGCTTTCTACCTCTTGACATAGGCAATTGACTACAAGTGAAGAATAAGACATAACATGTTTAAATATGGCCCATGTGTAGATTTCTTTTATTTGACTATACTTATTAATTACAAGGGAGATTAATTTTTTTTTTGTGGGAGAGAGGTTGGGGGAAGGGGATAATGATTATGATAACAAAAAATAAAAATGAGTGTCAATGAAGAATTTTTTAAAATGCGCACAAGAGAGGAGGGGATGGTTCAGAAGGAAACAAAGTAGGTCATCTTTGGAACTAATGTGCTGAATGTATTACATATTTAAAGAAACCAAAACACTGTAATGGAGATTTGCAGTTTTATGTACAATCCTCTTTTTCTATTATTTGTATATGGAAATGATTATATTTGCTTGCATTTGTCATGTGTAGAATAACAAAAATATAAAATGTACACATAAATAAAAAAAATAAAGTCTTACCTCTGCCATATATTGGCTTTTGGCTCTGGGCAAGTTATTTATTTCTCAGTGCCCCCTGGAAACTCTGAAAGAATAGTTGCTGTTTGGTATTTATAGATGTTTCTTCACCACAAGTTTCTGACACTAGTAAGTGTTACTATATTCATATTGCTGTGTATTTCCTCAATCATTGGGTGCCAGAAATACAACTATTATGTGAGAGCCCTTGAAATGTTTTAATAAAAAGGGGTCCATACTTCAAAAGAGCGGTCTAGAACTAGAGTTTTTAACCTGGGGTCCATAAATTTTTTCTAAATATCTTGATAGCTATTTCAGTATAATTGGTTTTCTTTGTAATCCTGTGTATTTTGTTTTATGCATTTAAAAATATTTCTCAGAAGAGGTTCATCCATAGTCACCAAACTGCCAAAGGAGTCTGTGACACAAAAGAGATGGAGAATCCCTGGTCTGAAACAGATTAGGAAGTGATTACTGAACTTTATATTGCATTTTCTCTGTCAACTCCCCTCCAAAAAGAAAAAAAAATCAAATTTACTTTTTTGTTTTTAATTCAAATCATTATCATTCACCACTCTTCTCCATTCCCTCTATCAAAGTTAGGATTCTTTGTCTAAACTCAACTTCATTATTCTCTACCTTAACCTGTCTTCCACCCTGTATTTGCAGATACATATCTACACTCAACTCCATTTCTCCTCTTAAACTTTTACCTCTCATAGTCCACTATCAGAAACTTTTAAGGCACTACCAATATACCACTAGACACCCTTACGTGCCCTACACACACATACACCACAGTCCTTCAGACTTTATCTATCCACTTCCCCTAAAAAAGGGGCCAGAGATTTATGGGCCACAAAAATATATGTCAAGGAAACCTGCTTCCTTAGGTACTGTATATAGGTCATATTTCCCAACTAGTGTCTCTTGCCTAACTCAGCAGTTTCTTATAATTGAACCAGAGTTGAAGTGTATCCAGTAATAGGGTAGGAAAAAGATAAGTTGCTAAAATGTGTACTCTCCCTTCCCCTGTTATATTTAAAGAATGCTATAAGCCTCAAAAATATTTGTTTGAGCCCCTTAGGTTTTTATGAATTGGGCTAAAATATGACAAAATACTTAAATTTTGAGTTTTGTTTAACTTCACTTTTTTTTCCCAACAGTATCCTGCTATCTCTCTGTAAACAAAGTATTACTTTAATTATCAGTGTGGAGGGCTCCAAGAAGAGTCATCTCCCCTATGCAGACTGGAGCAGTTCCACTAATATTTCAGTGAAACAAATGGTCTGTCATTTTTCAGCACCTTTGAAATGTTTATATCATCTATGTTATTCAGGGGGAGAAAGGGTTTTAAAGAGATATGTTTACTTCACTTAAAATTAATAGCATTATGAAATCTCTTGGCATTTATCCTACAAATACTGGCACAGCGATTTTTTTTAATAAGGGGAGGGTGTTAGAAATTTCTCATGTAGGTTGGCGGCGTGTTTTTATTTGGAACTTTACTTTCTGAAATATATTGTCCTTTGCATATTTTTATGTAGCCAGGTTTTGCCTACCTATGACAGCCTTGACGAACCATCAGTAAAAATAATGAGCTCCATATTTGCTTCATCGCTTAATGTGGTCACCACTTTTTACATTACGGTAAGGACCTTTATGCTTCCTTTTCTCCTTTTTGTATCTTTTCCTCCAAAACCTTTCTCTGTAAAGTGTATCAAAGAAGTACAGACATATAAAGGTAACACATAATAATTTTTTAAAAAATAAATTGTTGTCTTTTGTTTTTGTATCACCTATATCTCCCACTATGTCTCTCCACCTACCCCCTCCCAGAGAGTCATATCTTATAAAAAAGAGTTTAAAAGGAGGAAGAAAAAAAAGTCCAGCTTAACTGATGGTATAGTGTTCTATATTTTCTTATATCTCATCTTTATGAGTCATATTGGTTCATAATTTCTCAGCATACAGTCTTGATTATCTTATCACTCTTTCGATTTATGTTGTAATTGGACATACTGTTTTCCTTGTTCTCGTTACTTCATATTGTATCAGTTCATATAACTCTTCCTATGCTTCTTTGTATTTGTCATATTCATCTTTTTTTTTTTTTTTAGTGAGGCAACTGGGGTTAGATGACTTGCCCAGAGTCACACAGCTAGTGAGTATTATGTGTCTGAGGCTGGATTTGAACTCAGGTACTCCTGACTTCAGGGCCGGTGCTCAATCCACTGTGCCACCTAGCTGCCCCATATTCATCATTTCTTAGAACATAGTGATATTACATTACGTTCATGAACTACAATTTGTTTAGCCATTTTCTAATCAGTGGTCATCTACTTCAGAGTTGTCAAACTCCTGGCTACAAAACTCTCCAGTGCTTTTACTGTTTGGTCGTTTCAGTTGTTTCTGACTCTTTGTAATCTCATTTGAAGTTTTCTTGGCAAAGATACTGGAATGATTTTCCATTTCCTTCTTCAGTTCATTTTACAGATAAGGAAATTGAGGCAAACAGGGTTAAGTGACTTGTCTAGGATCACACAGCTCATGAGACAGGGCTGAATGTAGCTGAGAAATTGCGAAAGGTTTTCAAGAATCTCATATACTGCTCTATGACACAAAACCTCATTTTTTTTTTAATATCAGTATTCTTCTAGTGTTGCTAATTGGTTACAAATCATGGGACCATCACTATTTCCAAAGAAATAAAATTATGGATGACCCAAAGAGCAATATGTGATGGGTGTTACTAGGCTGTGGCATATTGTATACAGTAAGTGGCGTGAGATTTACCATATAGGAAATATGTGATCAGAAAAGGAGAGGTGGACCAATTCTTTAGGGAAAGTGAAGTATAACCAGACAGAGTGCTTTACTGGTCTCATAGAATTAAAAAATTTTTTTCTTTTTTACTTTCATGAAGTTGACAAACATTGAAAAATATTAACATTTCCATATATGAAGAATAGATAAAGATGAATGCATATGAAGCTGTGATTCTCCACTGTGTGTAGCTTAATGGGTTTTTTTTTGCATATTTCACATTTAATATGGTAATTCTGCACTACCCTACTTGTGTGCGCCCTTTTCTGAACTGCCTTCTGCTCCCCTCTTTATTTTTTAAATGATTCATTGATGCTCTATTTTTAAAGTCACATTGCCACTGTCCTCACCACTTTCCCCTAATTTTCCCTTAACTCTCCTCCTCCCCCCTGTTTTGTAACAAATAGTCACAAAAAACAGATACATATATTGTACCATGTCTCAAGATATATGTCTCATTCTGTACTTCTTGTCCATCAACTCTTCTAAAGAATGTATGGTCATAATTCTTACACTAGTGTTTTCCTTCAGTGTTGTAGTCATTGTATGAATGGTTCCCTTGATCACTTCCCTCTGCATCATTTCATACAAGTCCTCCTAAACTGGAAGCTTTAGACATTTTTTGCCTCTGTTGCATTTGGAAGGAAACTATGGCCCACAAAATTTAATCTCATTTCAACTTCCTTTTAGTATTTTCATTTATATTATTGTAGTTGTCACACATATTGTTCTGCTGTTTTTGGTCTTGTATTGACTGATTTTTTTCTCTTTAGAGAAGATTCACCAAAGTGAAGGGCTGAGTAATGACTCAATATAACAGTACTTGCCTTAAGGAATTGTGTACACTGAAGGCCTTTTTCAAAGGTGAACTGTTAGATAGGAGCAGAGTACTGTCCTTGCTTATTTTCCATTCTTCATTAGGTTACCTGTTGATTAGAATTATCTTATGTGTGATTTCTCTTCCATTTGGACAGGTAGGATTTTTTGGCTATGTCAGCTTCACAGAAACTATTGCTGGCAATGTGTTAATGAACTTCCCTTCCAATCTGGTGACTGAAATGATTCGAGTGGGATTCATGATGTCAGTGGCTGTTGGGTTTCCCATGATGATTCTGCCATGCAGACAAGCATTGAACACTCTTCTCTTTGAGCAGCAGGTACGATTTCTTTATAGCTGGTTCTGGGGAAAAAAAAAGTTGGAGTTATTTTCATGATATTAAAACCTTGATCTCTTTCAGCCTGTTAAAGGTGCTAAATATCAACTTAACAAAGGCTGTACTATATAAACAAAAATTCTACTTAACAGGAGAACAAAGGAGAACTTTAACAGGAATTTGGTACATTTAACCTGAAAAAAAAGGATGTGATAACAATGTTCAAATGTTTGGGTCGTCATGTGGAATTCATTTCAACAAGTATTAAGTGCCTGCTACGTGCAGAGCAGTATACTAAGTGTTGGTGGAGATATAAAATTTAGATGACCCTGGCCCTCATGTACCTTATAATCTTGTAGAAATCTAATGAAGAGACATTAGGTTTGTTTTGCTTGGCTCTAAGGGTACAACTAGAACTAATGGGTTGGAGTTAGAGTAAAACATATTTTAGCCCAGGATAAGGAACAACTTCCTGTCAATTAGAATTGCCTCAACATGGAATGGGCTGCCTTGGGGGACAATGAGTTTGGCTTTACAAGAAGTCTTTAAGCTGGGGCTAGATTGATTACCTGTCAGTGGGTGGAGGAAGGGATTCATGTTTGAGTAGGGGGTGAATTAAATGACCTGTGAGGTCTTTTCCAATTCTGTGATTCTACCTTTTGTCCTACATTTGACTTTTAGAAGAAGGAGACAAATGACATAGAAAACAAGCTGATATTAGGAATATGTTAGGAAAAAGCAACTTACAGGATAATGTCTTAGGGTCAGGAGAGACAGGCTATTCCCCAATATCTTTTGCATCTTTAGTATTATTCAACTGATGAGTCAGAATGAGAAGCCTGAGACAGTAAAAGATCCTGAACCAGCAAAGGAAGGTTAAAATTATGTTCAGTACTTACTGAGGCAGGAAAGGGGATGGGAATATTTTAGAGAGATTTTTAGTAGTGAGTTGAAATTCAAAAGGTCTACTGGTTGTGACCCTGAGTTATATGGAAAAATTATTTAATTGGAAAACCCCATTCCGAAAGCACTTTGATTAATTGAGCTTTTACTCTATGTTGTTGTAGTATTATTGCCCCAGTCTGTAGAGAGCATTGCTCTGGAAATATCCTACCATCAATCCTTGTTGATGCATTCTGCTGTACCTGTTGGAAAGTGATTCCATATAGCTTTGTAGGGCCATATAAAAATTAAGCAGTCTTTCCATATGCCTAAAGAGTATGGATCAGATTTAGGATTTTCTCTTACATTCGTTTTGGCCCTGAGGCTGATTTTTTTCCCCCAAGACTGAGCTAATTTTCCTGAAGCCCTGGGCCCTTGTTAGTTTGCATAGGTAGTTTGGCTGATGGAGAAGAGCACCGAGAGTAAGCTGGAGCCAAAGGAATGGTTGTTCTTCTACTTCTGTGGGAAGGAAGGAAGTCATAGAGGGACTCCATGACCCTTCTGTCTTCTGCAGGTCTTCTCCCTTGTTACTACTTTCATTCCTGACACATCCTGGATGTGTCACCCTGAGCAAGTTTCTTAATCTTGCAGTTCTCTAAGCCAGGTCTTCTTAAACTTTTTCTACTCTTTCTTGACCCTTTCAGCGCTTCTTGAACTATGTGGACCCATAGTTTAAGAAGCGCTGCCTAAGCAACTCTGTAAGTACTCTAGGTTGCAGAGAAGATGCTAACCTACAATGGTCAAGAGCATTTCCTTACCTGGGAGTTTGTTATTATCAGTGAAATCATAGGCACAGTCCCTGTCCCTATTTTAATTGCTATTAAATTGAATTTTTTCCTGTATCTTAGTTTAAGTCTCAAGTCCATAGGGCTGTGATTTTGATCTGCTGCTTTGTGGCACTCGTTGAATATTGTGGAATGAAAAATAGCTTATGTATTATTTTGGATTTGTAAAAGCATAGGTGGTCTGTATAGATGGTAAATCTATAATAGATTTAACTGCTTTGTGTCCTTATAGAAAACATAAAAGAATTCCAGAAGCTCCTCTGTTGGTATTCAAAGCAGTGTACTAAACTCCTTTTTTTTACTTTTCTCTCTACATGCTAAACCTGGTGCTTAGTAGATGAGTTGCTTCTCTCCCATTAGCCATTTAAGCACCTAATTTTAAAGTAATACATGATTAAAGTCACTGGGAGAAGAGACACTTATTAGTTAGGAGAAAGGCAGGACCAATGTCATACTGCAGTAGATATTTTCCCACAGTCAAAAGCCTGGCTAGATGTCTGCTTTCCTTTGGGTTTGTAGCTTTTACACTATTCTGCATGAATTTTTACCTTAGTTCCATTTACAGAAAAAATTCTCCATTTGAAATGAAAATGATACAAAATATAAAGTGATTTGAAAGTTACCATTTTAGGGTAATACATAAATTCTGGAATTTGGACCTGGTTCTTTTTTGGCATGTGCCAAAGGTTTATTTTGCTAAATATTGGATAATTCTAAATTCTGGGAATTTTTTCCAGCTTTAGTTGGAGGGAGTCAGTAGAGCAAGTACTCCTTGTTCAGAAAATTCACACATGAGTAGTTTAAGGTTCCTGTCTTATGCCTATGAGTAGTAGACTTTCAGTGGACTAACATTTCTTCTTTGTCTAAACCCTGAGAAAAAAGACAAATTAGAGGTACTTCTTGGAGGTGGGAATAAGAGGTTTTTGGTTTGGATGTGCTGCTTGTGTTATACTTCCTGCCTTTGATTACCCCTGGAGCTTACCAATGAGTGTTTTCTATCAGGCTTCTGTTAAGAAGCTTGATAGAGAAGTTGGTGCATATGATATTCCACCTGCTACCTTTAACTTGGCCAACTCAGCCTGAGATATTAGGGGCACTTCCCTGGAATCATGCTGCTACTTGTCCAACAATAGAGCATTCCTGCTCTACTCTCTTATTTTTCTCCTTGCCATGGTCCTGAAAGCAAAAAAGCAAATGGAAGGATTTGCCCTTAATATTTCTTTCTTTCTTTCTTTCTTTTTTTTTGTGGCAGTTGGAGTTAAGTGACTTGCCCAAGGTCACACAGCTAGTAAGTGTGAAGTGTTTGGTCGGATTTGAACTCAGGTCCTCCAGACTCCAGGGCCGATGCTCTATCCACTGCACCACCTAGCTGCCCCTTGCCCTTAATATTTCAAGAAGAATTTGTAAAGTTTACATTCCATACAGGATGTATTGAAATAGCAGCTTTTTGCCATTTTGCAAGTTCAAGTTGCAGTTTCACATTAAGATTGCTCAGCCAAATCTAATTGAGCTGTTAGTGCTTACCTATGTTGACTATTAAATTGGCAGATGAAATCACCATTTCAGCCCCACTTTGAGTCTTGTCTGGTGTATGGAGCAGGACCCTTTGAGTAATTGCTTTACGAAAGAGTCATGGGGGAAAGCAGCAATTTCAGAACTTAGTGTGTTTTGATTTTCTTTCATGTAGCAAAAAGATGGTACCTTTGCAGCTGGAGGTTATATGCCCCCTCTTCGTTTTAAAGCTCTCACGCTTGGAATCGTGTTTGGAACCATGGTTGGTGGAATCATGATCCCAAATGGTAAGATAGGAAGGCCACTTGAGATGGTGTCCTTCCAGTTTTTTTCCTCTTTTCCTTTATTCTTTAGATATCCTAGCCTGTGAAATTTTAGACACTAACTCCTGCTTTGTGTGATCTGCTGCACAAAAGCTTTGGAGTTTTCCATCAGAGATACCTAGTTTTTCAACACCTTTCTCTTTTATTTCATATAATAGGAAGTGGTTGGAAGCCCCCTAAGTTGTTCACTTTAGTGAACTTCAAAAATCTTGCATAACAATAAAAACAATAAACATGCCTTAAAACATGGACTTATGATTACAGGGCCGGGGACTCCCAGTGCAAAAATTTGTCTATGAAAGTTGTTTATAAGATGAATTGCTATAAAGTGGATCACTTTTTTACCACAGCCTTATAATATTATTTCAAAAGTGTGTTCCTAGAGCAAAAACTTGACTTTAAACAAAGTATATTGCTTGTTGCCTAGACCCTAGTAAGTAATAAAAAAGTCTTTTTTGCTTATTAGACACTGGGAAAACATCCAGTGTATGCAAAAGACTAAAGTAGGATATCTAACCCTGACCTTGGGCACTAACACAAAGAATCACACTGGTGTGGACTCTGGGCTTGGGGGACAAGCTTTCAACCCATACTGCTATATGAAAGTAGATAGTATTCGTGGTTTTATTCATCATTTAGTAAATCAGAGGAGATTTCTAATCCTTTAGATGTCAGGAATCACCTATAGAGATTCCACAATCCATTAATTCAAGGATTCATAAATTGGGGAGTCTCTCCATATTGGACCAGGAACAGTGATCTTGCATTCAGAGACATGGATTTGAAGCCTAACCCAGTTTTTCATTAGTTGTATGACTTCAAATC